TGCCCCCCACGGAACATGAGTCAATGTCTGAAAACATTTGTTGTTGTCACAACTGGGGGCAGGGTGGGGGTGGTACTGCTGGCATCCTGGTGAACAGAGACTGGAGATGCTAGGAGAGATCCCACCCCACTGCACTGACTCCCGTGACAAGAATGATCTGACCAGAAATGTCAGTAGTGTCAACACGGAGAAACCTAGGTACAGGGTGTAATAATTGCTATATTCAAAACAACTACCACGTTTGTAGTGTTTTCTGAGCCTGGCTGTGTTCTGTGGTCGAGATGGACATACATTACTATTACCCCTAGCTAGGTTTATGGGTTTGGGAAGGCTGAATTGCACCCTGATGTCAGTTAGAAGGAGGAGGGAACAGGCACAGAGAGCTGGGGGGATGGTGTGTGCCACCACTTGGAGGTGACAGTTAGGGACATTTGGGGAAATGCAGGCTGCTCATTATGGTGAAAGCTAGAAGGTGAGGGAGCAAGAAACTCCAGAAGAGGCTATGGAAATTGCAGAGTGGAAGCTGGAAAATGGATGGCGTTGTACGACATTCTGAGGCACCTGGTTTTTGTTTCAAGGCTGTAGAAAACCAAAAATGGTTTTCATGTTTGGGTTTGTCTGTTTTGGAAGAGTACTTCAGTGGGTTCAAGAAGAACTCATTGGAAGGAGGCAACTGGAGATAAGTTAATTAGGAGGCTGTTGCAGCCATTTCATGTAGATTGAGTCAGGGAAGTGAAAGTAGGGATGGAAATATAAATAGTTGAATTTCAGAGATATTGGTGAGGTTGATTGGTTTGGGTGCCAAAGAAGGGGGGAGTTAGGGTCAGGTCATTGATTGTCGAGGAGGGCAAGCATAGATAAAGCACATGCGCCCCTGCCCCAGAGGGAGGTATGTAAATCTTGTCAGCAGTGCCTGCTTCTAGCTTCAAGCCCAGCAAATGAGGGGATGCCTCTCTTTTCCATCAGCTCTGGACAAAGCCTATGGTCTGAAGGTTAAGCCAGCCGTTGCAGCACATTGGCACACAATGGGGGAGAGAAGACAGGGTCGCTGCAATAAAATCTGATAAAAAGGAGGCGAGAAGGGACATATCCACAGATACTGTGTTCCATCCCGTTGAATGAGAATTGCAAGACTCCTGCACACTAGCTGTGGTGTGGACTCCCGAGCTGGCCAGGTTGGCTGCTTTTGGTTTCGTTCTCTGAGAAGATCTCCCTCGTCCAGTGTCCTTTGTGGCTCACCTGGGATGGGTGTATAAGTCATCTTTCCGCTCAGATGTCGTCTCCTCAGAGAGCTTTTCTCCGACGTCTGAGTAGAAAGTAGGCATCCGGTTTTTAATCGCCTTGTTGGAGCTAGGGATAGGGCGTGTGTTAGTTATCTGCAGCATTCAGTTCATTTACGTGTTGTACTTTTTGTGCCTCCGTTATGCTGGAATGTAAGGTCAGGAGGGTGGGAGGGGCCTTGGCTGATGTGTTCAGTCTGAATCTCTAATACCTGGAATGGTATCTGGCTCAGGATGTTTTTTGAAAGAATGAGGAAATGAATGAGAGAGGAGAATAAAATGCGGAAGGAGGAACCGGTTTTTAAATTTTGTTGTCTGTGTTTTGGTGGGGAAGAGGACATTGAATTCAGTTTTGGATATGAGTTTTAGAAACATTGATATTAAATATAGACAGGAACATAGGCTTGTCAATAGGCCATTAAACATACAATAGGCACAGATGTCCAGCTGGCCATTAAACATGCAAAGTGAAGCTCAGGGAAATTACAGTAAAGGTCGCTAACATGTACTGAGCTTTGCCATGTGCCAGTCTCTGTTCTTAGCACTTTACTGATCTTAGTAAAGTGGAGCTATCAATTTATGGAAGCAGAAGCTGAAGCTATTGAGTGGTCATGTCCAGAGGGGGTGCATGAGAATTAAATAGGGACAGAATCCCGAGGCACAGCAGCGTCTGAGAGGTGAATCAAGAAAAAGGCACAAGATCCTAGGGAACACTGGTGTTTAAGGGATGAATGAAGAAAGTGGTGACTCTTTGAAGAAGCAGCTACAGAGCCAGGAGGGTTGGGGTGAGGGAAATCTGGGAGAGTGTGGTGTCTCTGAATCCAAGGAGGAAGGAGGGATTCCTGGATGTCTCAGAGATCTGAAAAGTGGCCGTGGTCTTCTGGATCGAATAAATGATGTTGGGAAGAGTTGTTTCAGGAAACCCTCAGGAAAGGAAATAGGTTGAGGGTTTGAGAATTTCAGGTTGCTGTCAGGAAGGAGCTAGTAGAGAGGGAGAGTTTGGAAATGCAGTGGAGGGAGAACATTGGTGCTGCCTGACTGCTGGGGAGGTGGGGGTTGCTGGCAACTGAAGTGTTTGATAGAGGAACATTCTCAGACATAGATTTTAGTTTTTTTTTTTTTTCCTGTAGAACCTTCTGATTTCCTTGTTCTGTAATTTTCCAACGGATCAAGAGGCTATTGAACTGTACAGGCTGCACGTTGCTTCCCTAGTTCATTGTCAGTGAAAGAGCTGGGGACAGTAGGGCCTTGTCGGCTACAGCCACTGACTCAGCAGCAAGGACAGAGGTTCTGCGTTCCTTGCTTTACCTTCTTTCACTGGCATCAGCTGTTAGTTTTGTTTTTCCAGGTTACCTTGGCTTCCCATGGTTGCATTTTCACTGATTTCCCCTAAGCCTAGAATTCTGGTGGCACAAAAGCTATCTTTCACAAGTAGTCAGGCTATCAGTAGTTGAGATGGCGCAGTAATGTCTGCAACCATTTAATAAAGAAAACCTAAATTACATCTCCATCTTATAAAATTGAAACTGCATCAACTTTTGTTTTTTCTAGTGACAGGTATTGGCTTTCTGGTTGGGAACATAAAGCTAGTGTTTTTGGAATATGCTTTCCAAATATAAAATGTGTCTTAGTTTCCTGATAATGTGGATTCTGAAACTTTTTATCTTGCTTTAGATTTTATGAATTTGTATCTAGTTTTAACATGCCCATAGATAATGGAGCCAGGTAACATAGACTAAGTACTTAAAAACAAGTGCGTTTCTCTTTGTCACATTTGAAAGAAAATATATTTTATGGAAATAATTAAAAAACTGACTTGGTTATTTGAAAATAGTTTCTCATAATTGTCATTATATACTCTGAAGCCTAAGATGTTCTCTCGTTTGATAATCTGTTTAAAAAAGTTTACAAAAATAGTTACCTGTAGGTTTTTGTTTTATAACTAGCCTCCTCCATCAAAGTTAATAGTTATGCTTTCAGTGAAGTGAAGAGTCGTCAGCAGAGTATCCTGACTAGATATTTGATTCTTGCTGAAGCAAAACTGCCTTGCAAATCTGGGAAAGGCTAGATAGGGAAGATGGATGGTTTAGGAGGCGAGGCATATTTGTACAGTGTCCTATAAGCTGGTAACATTTGGAACTCAGATTTTCAGTAACTCCATAGAGTTATGTGACGGATGCAGAAGCACTAGCTCCCTCAATGATTCAGCCTGTTGGCATTTCTTAGCTTTTTGTCATCAAGATTTCTTTACACTCTTAAAATTTATCGAGGACCCCAAGAAGCTTAATATTTGCTATATTACAGATTAAAAGTGATAAAATTGAAAATATAAATTCATGAAAAATACCAAAAATAAATTCATTATAAGGAGCATATATTTATGAAAAATAATATTTTACAACATCATGAAAAAATATCATTGCTGTGAATTTTTGTCAATCTCATTAACATCTGGCTTGATGAAAGACAGCTAGATTCACAAATGTGCTTCTGCATGCAGTCTGCCATTTGGACTATTTCACTGTAAGCCATGAGAGAATGAGAGTGAAAAAGACAACTCATATTTTAGTAGTATCAGGAAAACATTTTTGAACTCATGAACTCCTGAGACGATTTCAGGGACCTCTTGGCAGGAGTTGAGTGGGAGGGGGATCCCTGGACTACACTTTGAGAACCACTGGACGAAACTATATATGTTTCTTGATGACCATTTCCTTGGTTTCCTTTCTTCTGCCCCTTGGGGCCTGGTAAAATATTCTTTATGTTGACTCCTCCAATGTGTTTACTGATTTAAATTTCCTCTATAAAATTCCAGGGGAAGGAACCATCCAGTGAATCAGGCCTTCACTTCCCTTTCACGATGCCTTTCCCCTTAATTAGTCATGCTGTAAGAATCTATCTCACTCCTTTGACTCAGCCGCCATAGAGGTGCCACCAGACTCTTTTTACGATGCCTGATGACATTGTAGACTGGTTACAAATCAAGATAAGTTGTTGAGGAAAAAAATACTCCCTTTTCAGTACAAAGAATTCTAGGAAGTCTTGGAGGTTGCTGGGAGAAAGAAACTAGAATTGTTTCCTAGAAACGGAGTGGAAAAGTCTTTGGAGAAGTTTTTGGGGGCCTCGCTGGCACATGGGATCCACTCTGCTCTCCAGGAAGCGTGTGCCGTCTTCTAGTTCGCATTTCTGCACCAAGGCAGTGGCAGGTGGCCCGCAGAGTGAGTGGGAAGCAATAATCAGCTCTCCAAGTAACAGCATTTTCATTTGCTAAATGTTATGTTAATGTTCTCCAAACTGATGGTAGAATTATACAAACTTAAGCTGAAAATATGCATACTGTTCATATTGTTTTCAGACTTCTGATAAAATGTAGGTAAATAATATCAAAAAGTATCTTAAAAATTACACAGCAAATTTTGTATAGAACAAATATGTGTACAACTGACATTTACATTGGAACAATTTTATTAGCTACGTCAGAAAAATGCCTGCATGAGTATAGTAGCATAAAAACGGTTGCTTTTGCATTTACCTTGCAAAGAAATGGAAGCAGCAACATTTTAAAAAGAGCATGAGTTTGTGTGCTTTATCTGGATGAGTAGTGGCATTTTCTAACTGCTTGCCTCTCGGGCACGTAAGTCATCATGGTACATTCTTACTAATAGACTTTGAACTTCTCTCTCTGTCCTTTTCTTCTGGGCCGTATATTGCCGCCTTTAGCGCTTCAGCATGGAAGGGATCTCAAATGTCATTCAGAATGGCCTCCGCCACACCTTTGGAAATTCAGGTGGAGAGAAACAGGTGCTCGGTTATCCTTATTTTCCTCATTCTCTGCTTTTTCATTTCCTGTGTAAGTGAAGATCCTGAAAGCTGGTAGTTTTACTAATTTACTAAGACCATTGCTTAAAGAGAGAAATAAAAGTTTATTATAAAAGTTCATTATGTTTATAGTCTTGATAATGAACAAAATTTCCCTTTGAGGAAAAAGCATTTTTTCAAATTGGACAGTAGATTAAATGCATTCTTAATACATGTTTTAGAGCTCCATTTCTCACTCTTAGTTTTAAACAAATAGACATTAACATTTTAACATATTGTATTGCATGTGTAGGAAATCTGCTTGTGAAAATAACTAAACTAAAATATGTGACTCTAATTCTAAAAGTCTAAGAAGCAAGATGTCATTTTTGGGGGAGGAAGGCCAGAGGTTGGTACGTTTGAGACTAGAGTTCTAGGTCAAAAATATGTATAGAGTATATCTTACCTCCTTTAAGTGAAATTCATGTGTTTTTAAGGTGTATTGCATAGTCAGCCAACTCAAGTTGTCTGCCAAACGAGGCATGAGACATTATTTATACAAGATTATACATAGATATGAATGTATAATCAAGTATCTAGCAATTTGCTTTTGATTCACATTTTTGTATACTGATTGAAGGAATATCACCAACATGGGAAACGTTCACATGAATGGGTATGCTTCAAATTACCTTTCGCTATATGAAATTTTCACCTTAAAAGAGAAAGCTCTTTAAGTTAGCTCTTCTGTGCAGACTAAGAAGGTGTACAAAATGTAGCTTGTAGGAAGTTTAGCAAAAGAATGCCTAGATCAAATGCCTGGAGTTTTTACTGAAGGTAGTTATGTGTTTCTCAAAAAGGGGGATCATTCCTATTAAAGAGGGAAGGTTCACACAGACATCTGCAGCTCATCAGTGAGCTCCATGAAGGGCTGTTTGAATTTTGGTTTTCATTCCGGTGCCTCTCACCTCTCTCAACCTCACAAGAAGGCAAGGAATCTTCCAGACTCCACTGAGTGGAGCAGGGAGGTCTGAAAACGCAGCCAGGTAGCCAGAGAGCGGGCCAGGGCGAAGCCTCCTGCTGCCTCTCCAGGTTGCCTGACACGTGCAGAGTGAAGCCAGGAGGACATCATTTCTGGCCTTTTGTTGTTGTTCTTTCCAAAGAAACATTCGATTATACAATTGGGCATCACCTGCAAGAAGTCTACATCAAAAAGATGGTGGAACATTTAGGTGCCTCCAAGATTGAACTATGCAGTTTTACCAGTTTTCTGGACTTAGGGATCCAGTTATTGTAAAGCAGCTTTCTTTATCCTGTTTTTCAGTTATGGGCAGGATAAGATCACTCAATGAGGATTAGAGCTGAGATTTAGGGCACGAGGTTAAATCATGGGTGGAGCTAAAGAGATTCCAGGTGAAAACCACTGGCTTTCTATATGAGCACATGTGAAATGCATGGAACTATTTTTTTGGTGGGATGGTAAGAGTAGGAGAATCCGGACAATCATTTATGGATTATGCTTTCATGGGATTAGTTATAAGACATGGCGCTGTTACTTGTGAGCCTTTACAAGTAGTGAACTAGGAAGTTTGTGTCAATTTCAGACATGAATTTTCATTATTCATTTCCCCTTAGGCCATTCTCTACTTTTACTTTTCTCCTTTAATACCTAAAAACGTTTATAATGACTTACCCAATAATTTAAAATAATAGTAATAATGCATTTCTAAAATGATTTAAGTGTGTCTTTGTTAGCTTCTGCAAGAAGCTAGTGTGTGTTTTTCAAAGTTGTCGTGTTATATATTTGGACCATTTGTTCAACCAGAATAAAAATGGTCTGAAACAGAATTATTTTGCTGTTGGAAATTACTTTCTTGTGCAGAACTATTAAAACTATGTTTTTAGTTTAAATTGCTATTTTTAAAATGTGTTGAAAAATATGCAAAGAGAATGTGAGATAATACTTTAAAAATGAACAAATTGAGTAAATCATCCTCAGACTTAGTCCTATGAAATTTTCAATAACTGAAATGCAAAGAAGTGGTTGTTTCTGTTGACACTAGGTTTGTGTGAAGCAAATAGAGATGGGCCAAAAAAAAAAAAAAAGAGCTCCATCTGAGTTAGTAAGATACCTTTATTCCCATACAATACCTGTGTTTTCATTACCAAAGTAGCTTATGTTTTTATATTATGAAATAGACCTTCTAGTAACAGTATCAAAGTTTTTGGAGATAAGGTAATTCCGATTTAAGTGACATATTTTTTTTTTTTAACTTGGCAGTATTTGACTACAGTCATTCCTTATGAGAAGAAAAACGGACCACCATCTGTTGAAGATCTTCAAATATTAACAAAAAGTGAGCAAAGACAAAATGAAACTATTACCTGATTTACTTTTGCTGATCAGTAAACACCTGACTTTAATTGGCTGATTTTGTTGTTAGTGTTTTGTCAATTTAGGATGTAAATGATGCATATAATTGTTTATTTTTATAAGAATGAAGCCAACAATGGCTGTGACATTGAATACAACAGTAACTCTAGTGTTGATTTGTAGTTTTTCTGTTTTTCTGACCTTGTGAAATATTTATGAGCTAAACTTTTGGGAAGAAGCATAACCTGAATCTCCATCATCTCTTACGTGTTTAAGAACGTATCCATTTATCATAAATAAAATTCTTCATGGATCTTATATATCTATGACTGTCAGTAACTGAATAGGAAGGATTTAGGGTAAACACTTTTTTTCTTATGTATGTAGAACCCAAGGGAGTAATTATAGGTAGAACATAAATTGACAGTGATGTTTTAAGAACATGCGTTCAAGGCCGGGCGCGGTGACTCACGCCTGTAATCCCAGCACTTTGGGAGGCTGAGGCGGGTGGATCATGAGGTCAGGAGATCGAGACCATCCTGGCTAACACGGTGAAACCCCGTCTCTACTAAAAATACAAAAAATTAGCCGGGTGTGGTGGCGGGCGCCTGTAGTCCCAGCTGCTGGGGAGGCTGGGGCAGGAGAATGACGTGAACCCAGGAGGCAGAGCTTGCAGTGAGCCGAGATCGCGCGCCACTGCACTCCAGCCTTGGCGACACAGCGAGACTCCATCTCAAAAAAAAAAAAAAGTACATGCATTCGTTCAGTAAATATTTGGTGAAGGCCTACTCTGTACCAGGCCATGATCTGGGCACTTGGGATACTTTAGTGAACAAAGCAGACAAAAATAATCCACCTTCAAGGGGCTTGTATTAAAAAAAATTGTTAGATTTAAATATATATGATACTGAGTATCTCTTACGATAGCCACAAATGAGCACTGAATTCTGGTTCTATCCCTGTTATTTTCAGGGATATCCTTGGAAGTTACTTACTCTCTTTTGCTCACATTGAAACAGTAGCATAAAAAATATTTGTTCTATTTACTTCCCAGTAAATAGATTAATGTATGTATGATTTCGGCTAAGTTACTATCAATTAGCCTTGTTGTCACTGCCGTTAAAATGAAGGGCTTGAATTTTGCTGATCTGTTAGGTCTTTGTGATGGTAAATATTTGTGATACTTGCTAATTAGGGGGGAACCAAATGAAAGAACATCACATGGATGAGTATTGATGACGATATTTATTTTGGAAATTCAAGATATGGAGGAATGGGCATGGAAAACCTAAGAGTAGAAGCAAGTGTCATATTTCTTAGCTCCCTGCCTGCTAACTCGGAGCTTTTATTCTTTCCTTTGGTGAATAATTCTTTAAAAAGTTTTATATTTAAATATGGATAAATCAAGTGATGCCAGCCAGTCTGAAATAAAAAATCAAGAGATTAACTGGGTAGCCAGCCCTCTTATTTTCAGGAAGAACTTCTGAAGTTATGCGTGTCCAAGATCACACAGGGGGATGGTTAATTACAGAGCTGGGTCTCTTAATTCCCAGGAAATGATACTTTTAATGATGCTGGTTTTTGGTATGTGATTTTATATAGAAGTTAGAAAAAATTTTAAACATGATTGGAAGCAGAAATACTGAACATGGTAGCCCTCTAAAGAAGGGAACATAAATAAATATTGCTTATAAGCCAGGAATTACTGGCAGGCCTCCGCTTCTCAGATCAAGAGCAAATACTTCGTTGGTCAAACTAAAGTCATCATCTAATTCCAGCATCGAGATGTCTTTATAGGTTGATACAGTTTGGAATCTTTGGACATATTCGGGTCCAAAGCTCCCTTTTCTTTCCAAAAGAAGAGCCCTGTGGAGACAGTCACAGTGTTTATGGATGTATAGTCTTCCTCCTAAAAGCTATTAAGGGATTCTGGGTGTAATAATAATAGTAATAGAAACTTTAATAATATTAGTAGTGTTAGTTACAGTTAATACATAGCACGTACTATGTGCCAGGCACTATGATAGGACTTTTGTATCTGAATTAGTAGCTTAGTCCTCATTCACAAACCTTTGAGATGAAATCTAATTATTATTCTCATTTCACAGAGGAAGAGCTTGGTACAAAGGTGGTTAAGTAGCTTGCTCCACATCACACAATTAGGAAGTGGCAGAGCCAGGGTTTAAACCCAGGAAGGCTGATTTGACAGTTATACTGTTTTGCCTTGTCATATGGGTGGGGAAAAACAGTGAAATATTTTTACCAGGATGCTCGGGAGAAAATTTGAGTGGGCAAACTCTGTTGAAGTATAATATTTGTGAGTTTATCTCGACCTGAATGATCTAGCTTAAAAAAGAAAAACATTATACTAGGTGGCTGTTTTTTCTCTTTTAGTTTTTACTTGGAAGATAAAATTGTCCAATTAGGATGAGGTTAATTCTCCCAGGTTCCTCCCCTAGTGCAGAGGCGGCGACAGCCAGGCGGATGCCAGGTGCTGCTTCCTGGAAGTCTGTTCTTTATTTGGTGTTTTCTTTGAAAATTTCAAGGAGTCCGACAGATATGCTTGTTGAGGGTATAGCTAACTTTCCATTTCTCTGAGAGTTTCTCTAGTTTGCTTGATCTACAGCACCGAGGTCCTCTTGTTGCACCGAGTTCATTGAGGTGCACGTTACTGTAACCCACTTTCCAGTATTATTATAGAGCGAGGCTCCTTGTAAATAACCCGGTTCCTCTTTTTCGCCTCCACTGTTTGGAAATTTTAAAACAGGGAAGTAACTCTCAGGTAAGCAGGATATTCTTACCTAAAATAAATTCCTGTAAACTTACTCCACTAAAATAAATTATTGGGCCTTTATTGTTGTATTCCTTTATCAGGAAAATCACCTGTAATTTGCATGAGTCAGTCATATCCTATAATTAAGGAAGATGAAGGCCACAATGATTGAAATTAAATAATATTTTTGATCTGGATTTTTAATCGTTGTCTTTTCCCCCTTTTCTGTTTTGCAGTTCTTCGTGCCATGAAGGAGGACAGTGAAAAAGTTCCGAGCTTGTTAACTGATTATATTCTGAAAGGTGAGTTTTATAATGGTATAGGTGCGATGGCCGGGAGGTTTGGATTAGTCAGAAAATACATCGTCTTGCTAATACATTAGATAGTAACTTCCCAATGCACAACTTTCATTAATCTTGTTATGCAGGGTGAGGATTGGCTACATGACTGACTTCTGTCAACATTATATATTACGGTTTTATGAAATTTAACTTTTATTGGAGGTTTTGGGCTGGAAATAATCTCCACAGCTAAACTATAAACATCGAGGGAGGTAGTAGAAGAAAATGAGTGAGATGGCGCCATAATCATGTGGGTATCAGATGTTGGCAGGTTGGCACTGGGAAGCTTGAGAAGGGTGGTCTCTGTCATCTTGAGGACAGTGGAGAGGAGGAGGACAGATCATTAGTGAGGATGGATGAAGGAAGTCACATCTGTGAGCAGTGCCAAAGGGAATACGAAAGGGACTGATGTAAGGCACAGGGAGGGAAGCGGGGAAATAAAAAGAATGGACTTTCATGAACCCAGGACAGTGAAACACCAGCCACAAATCTTAGAGGCAAGATGAGGCTCACACAGGATGGGAATATTGATGAGGCAAAAGAAGAGTGAGAGGTTGAGTTACTTTGCTGAGGAAAGAGCAAAATTTGGATGATAAAGAAGGGACGGAAGAACTTTAGAAGCAAAATTAATACTTTTCAATGAAATATTTTTTAAAGTAGCAGGTATTCAGAGACCAGATTTTGAAAGCATCACAGAATACATCTTGTAGTGTTTGATCAAATTTTGAGAGCAATCCTCTTTTAGTAACAGTCTTCTTTGGGTTCTTTCTCTTCTCCATTAAAGTTAGCTGAGCACAAGGAAGATGAAGATTTCTGAGACATTAGAAATCTCAGATGGACTTTTCTTAAACCATAGTGTCTTGAAAGGGGAACCTCGGTAGTATACTCAGGGTGCTCAAAGTGAATCACACGTTTCACTTTTAAGAGTCTTGATGCTGTAAGAGCTAAGAAGCATGAGCTAGCCATTAGTGGGTTAACACCGGGGTAGAACAGACTTGAGTTGACATCATTTTTAAAAATAAGCTGTTTTTCTGATGGAGGATTTTCTCCCTATTAAATTCTGATTTTTTTTTTTTTTTAAATACCTGACATCTTTGTTTGCTTTTGTGTTGTGCTAGCATTGGTATGAAAGCTGGATTGTTCTGAGGTTTGTTCTTCTAGATGTGAAACAGGAATGAGATGAACATAAAGAACATGTCTTAAATTTTAATTATAGCGGGTCCCTACGGCTCTGTGAGGGCCAGAGATATAATGAGCTTCTGAAGCATTCTCTAGCTATGTTAGCATTTAACTGCATGGAAGGATGTTATGACCCAAAGAACAGAGTCCTCTGAGGGAAAATGATTTTTAATTCTTTACTCTGAAAACCTAGGACTGTAATTGTGAACCTACCTATACCGCATGCCTTAGGGAAGCAGCACCCATCTAATTCTGCTCCTCATGCTCGGGCCGCTGGCTCCTGTCTGTAAGCCCAGTTCTATCTATACTGTACCTGCTTCTGATGCGCGCTGTCTGTGTGCATGTGTTGTGGTTTCGTCTTGGCTTTGTATTGTGAGGACTGGGTGGAAAAGCAGCGAGGATTCAGACTACAGCAGAGACTGTAGTAGAGAAAACGAAGACGGGAGTGTCATGCGGAGATGTATTTAAGTGTGTGGGAAGGTGGTGAAGTGGGGGTCATTGAAAATGCTCTTTTCCACCCATCCTGAAAGTTCACCGCTGGTTAACTGTTCCTCCTCCTTGGGGGCCAGTCATAGGACACTTGGCCTGGGAGGGGGATATTGCTCAAGGGGGTAATACTCCTTCCCATTTTTTGGCTAGTTTGTTGTTGTTTTAACAGATGAGTGTGGCTTGGCTGCCTAAATACACCATCTTAGTTTAAATGCAAACATCCGAAGTGAAAGAAGGTAGAAAAGTGGTCTCATTTGGGCCTGAGAAAGGGAGTAGGGTGGGCACTGTCTGTGCTAATTGAGCTTCCCCTTCTCACACCTGCTTAATGACCCCACTGCAGCCTGCCGCCACTGCCGCCTTGAGGGTAGGACCCAAGGCTCATTCTGAAGTAATGTATGCGTGGCTGCTGCCGTGCTGATCCTAGTTAGGAATAAAAATGTGTGCAGAAACTTGCACCCTTCTTTGACTTCCCTAGGGAGCCTGTTTGCTGTGTGGCAAGCCTCATGGTATAGGGCAAATGTTAGGGGCTTCTTTCTCCAAGTGGTACCCTAAGAGACATGGCCTTTTGGTATCTCATTTCTGGGAAATTCTGTGTGTTGAGAGAACTCATCCTTGTTGGGTATAGCCTCTTAAAACCTTTAAGAAATTGCTACTATCGATCTTTGCATTAACATTTAGTTCTCATTAATGTTTTTAAATGTACATGTAAAATGTATGTTTTGTGTAAATGTATACAAAATATACATTTTTACCTAAAAGTTCTCTTTTCCTTCTAGTTCTGTGTCCTACATAGAGCAGCAACTTTATCTACGGTGGGCTCCGAGCTAGATTTCCTACAGCATTGTTCTGAAAGCTGGCTACCATTACCTTCTTGCTATTGGAAACTCAGCACATTTGAACTTGGGTTTGATTTAGTATTAACAGATCTTGACTTCACTAATTCTTTATATTATAGAACCAACGGAAATATGGGCACTTTTTTGAATTCTAGAGATGGTTTTTGTTAAATCTACTAATAATTATGAACTGTTCTCTTAGTAGAGTAAGAGAGTAATATTAATTGTGCATGTGCAGTTATATTTCTCATTAACTGACAGTATGCCCATTTGTTTTTATGGCTTTCTAATCTAAAGTGCACTGATGAACTAGATTAAAGCCTTGGGAGATTTATACTATAAATTCAGTGATGGCAAGAACCAACACTGATTTTTGTGAGAATTGTCAGTATAAATATTACCTACCAGTATTGTTCAGAGAGACTGAAACATAATAAACTCGGGCTGCTCTTGAAGAAGCAAAACCAGAATATGCATTACTTTGGCTTAATACTTAGTGAACATTGGAAACTGTTGGTGATGATGGATTTTGTTGCTTGCTGCTTGTTTAACCATTGGTCAAATTTTAACCATTAAATTGCCATTCACTTTTAGAATCTTGTACTGTTTAACTTTTGATTTTCAAATGTTCTGCTTCAGGTGTCTGTGAAGAATTGTACTTTAAAAGTTCATATCCTCTGAGGTGCTTGACAAAGTGTACACCGCAGAATTGCCCATTCTCATTACGGTGTCGTATTTTATTCATGCCTGTGTGTTTTAAGTATGAATTCTAGATACAGCTACTTATGGATTCATCAATATCATGAGGACTTTTGCTGGTTCCAATCAAATCAATGGCATTTAATAAATTTTTTAAGAAGTAAAAATATGTTTGAGAGCCTTATATTTGGGGTTTTGTGTTCTTTTTTTTTTTTCGTTACAGTACTAGATTCTTTCCCTTAATTCCACACAGAGCCCATTGCTACAGTGTGTGAGCAGATGAAACCCTGATTAGTCCCAGAATGCTACAAAGGAGAAGAGGAGGACTTTTTTTTTTTAGAGTATGCTGAGCTGCTATGGAGTGACAGAAGTCCTGCTGTTTCTCTGGGGCTGTGAGACATTTCAGACAAACAGCCATGCAGCCCCTCCCATAGACGACATGGGACCTGCTATAGGAAGCTTTCACAATTCCACTTGAACACCGGTGAGCAAACAGGGCTATACATATTCCTCACTGCACTCAGCAACTGAGACGCCATGACTGCAAAGGGCAGGGGCTCGGTTTGAAGTTGAATGCCTGCTTGGCATTTCAGCCGTCATCTCTAGGGGTATGAGAAACTTAGGATGGTTTCCTTATTTTATTAACGTTCTTATGTGGAACTTACTTGGCCCTTTCCCCAGATACACACATACCCAGTAATATTAATAATTTAAATTAATTTGATGTGAATTTGCAAAAATGATGCCTTGTACTGAAGAAATGTAGCTTTAAAGGGTATATGATGTAGCGGAAAGTCCTTAGGGGATATATTTTTTTTAAAGGAGATTCAACGTGGTCTGTTTATAGCTCATTCTTAAATTGATGCTTCTAAAATGTATGAAAATATACCTATTTTTTCCTATCAGCTCAAAGTCTCTTTGTAGTCAGGCTTCCCCTGACTTTGCTTGGTAAAGTCTTTCTTCTTCAGCATCGAACCACTGTAGGGTTTCCCACCACAATCCTCCTGTGCGTAGCAAGTTCATTTTGATACTAGTTATGAGCACGTTTCTGACAGCAGGTAGGTTTCTTGTCTCCCTAAAAACAGCACCGCTATGCTGTGTACTCTGGGAGTACTTTTCTTTTTGCAAGGATTCCTTGGGAAAGACCCGCCTAACGACAAAGGCACGGGGACTTCTTGTGACACCGGAGGCTCATTGGACTGATAACCTTAAAAGGACAATTTGTCTTTCGGATCCCAGAGCTGGAATCTTTTTGGAAGTTACACTGTGTGATTTCAACTCACAACGTTTATTTCCTGCCAAGAATCAGGTTGCAGATAATTCTCTTACAGCTTTGTGTGTTTTGAAGAAAACAAAAGCAAACTGTAGAGCTATGGTGCACTCCAAGTGCCATATATCTGTTTTATTCTTCAGGAAATTAGATTTTTCTTTTACAAGAGCACAACAGGAACCAAAGTAAAAGAGTAATAGATACAGCACTCAGGATAAATCATATCTTTAAAATAATAATAATAAAATTTACACCTTGTCCTATATCCTGTTAGTATTTTCATAATATGGCCATGATTGAAAAAACAAAAAGCAAGCATCTACAATTTTTTTCGATAAAGACTTTATGCCAGGAATGGATTAATTATCAACAAAATTCATACTAATCAGGCTGATGTCAATCTATTTTGGTAACATATCATTAACAAATTTATTTTGGAAAAAGATAAAAATATTGCCCCTTGATAATAAATCTTTTTTTCCTTTGATGCAAACAGCTAGAACACCTTTTTCTTTTTCTTTTTGATATTCTAAGACAAAAAAATGGTTAATCTTCAGATTAATAAATTAGGTCATTATAATAATAAATTAATTTTTTTTAAAGTTCAGCAACCTCTGTCCAAGTATTTACAACAATACTTGAAAGTTCCTTTACAAAACAGAACACATTTTCTTTTCACATTAAGCATACTGGGTATCTGTGTCTTTCACAACAAGCATTTTTAAAAGAAAACTCAATGCACAAATGGGTTAATTAGTATAAAAGTGCTAAGGGCTGTTTGAAAAGTTAACACTATAGTATACAGTCAGTTATATTTGAGGCATACTACAACAAACTTCCAGCTTATTGTGGACAATATTCCAGTAGTTGTTTCAAACTATTGTTTGAAGAAAAAAAAAAATCCAGGAGCTGATTAGTGATGCAGATAAGAACTGCCATCAGTGTCTCTGGCCAGTGAGCAAATTGAAAACAAACTGAAAGCAAATCCAAATGAGGAAGATTTTAATAAAGGAATACCCTTCTCCATAGCAGGTGCAATGCTGACTGCTCAAGGCGTGCGTGCACACACACACACACACACATACTCACACACATCTTTCCAATTAAACTGCAGGTAGAATGAGATTTTGTGTTATTCAAACAAATTTGTAAGTGATCAAAGCATTGATATGGAATGCCTGTTTATCTGCCTTTGTTCTGGTTAAAATCTCAAAAATACATTCAACAGGAAAACATAAATTGTATGTGTATAAATATATATGTGTATATATATTATATACACATGCACACAAATACTTTTGTTTTTTGAAGCATAGATAGTTACATAAATACTCCTATAATTGCTAAAGTTTAAAGAGGCATTTTTTTTTGAGCTTCAACAAAGGTGCTTGAATAATATACAATTAAAATGAAGTAGTTTCTATTCTGTAGAATCAGTATATAATAAGGAAAAAGAATCCCCAAACAGTCTTTTTAAAAAAAGTTTCTTCTTAAGCTAGAGCTTCAACAAAAACTATGAACAACCAACAATATAACAGAACAAAGCAACAACAAACAGTGAAATATAGCCCCTGGAAATGCCTGGTGTTCGCCACCCTCTCCCTCCTTCCTGTCACGTTGTTGTAAGAAAAGCTCCAGTGCTCACATCAAGAAATGACTTAGATCTTGTTCATGTGCTGACTCTGCTAGGAACTGGCTGATTGGCTTGGAAGAAAATAAAAGCAGCAAAAAGTATAACTGTATATATCCTTAATAACCCGCTTTAGAGAAATGTTGCTATCGCATTTCTCTGGCTTCCTCACTGCCTACTGCAGCTGTGACTGTATAGAAAAGAAACTTGTGGCTTTAGACCTGGGATGGCTGTCAAAAGGTTCTGATGTGCTCGTCTGGTAGTTCTAAGGTGGTTATGGCAGCTGGGTCGCAAGGCCTTTTTTGTTTCCTGCTCATTCAGGCCTGAGCTTTGCAGCAACCAGTGCAGTCTTCAGAGCAACAGGAAAAAAATATCCTCTGGGCCACTGAACTGCTTTTACGTTACCAGGTTTCTCCCCGAGCCAAGCTGACCAATTTTTCTTCCCGACACCACCCTCCCACCCATTTCCCCATCGAAACTCACTGTCCCCACCCCAAATATCTCTACAGCTATCTTACAGGCAAATATATCTTAGCAACTTTAAAAACTTTGGTTCTAAGAAAACGCTTGGTCAGTTATCTTGAGGAAAAGTGGGAATGCTTGTTCTGCACATTGCTGTAGACAGAGCCCATCCCAGTAAGGTCTTAGCGCTGTACATCAAGTCACAATCCAATACAATCCACTAAGCAAGTGCACAAATTCTAGTTTACTTTTTAGAGCAGATTGAGTCATCTTCTGTCTTTTGAAACCGCAACTGAGTTGCCTTTCTTCACACTGTCTGGTAGAAATTGTCTGCCTGTAGATGGTTCTGTTTTTGCATGCTGTAGAAGCCACTGAATCTTGCATCTGGTTCTGCAATTCTTAGCATTCTCTGGGAACTGTCCACCTGGACTCTGGTTCCTTTCTTGCAGTCCACAGATACTAGCTGATTATTTAAGGAAGAAGGCTATTAATGAGAGGAGGAATAAAACCACAAAGAATTAGCTGCTTTACATTATCGCAAATGAACAGAAATTTAGTACCTAACTCAGATGAGATAATAGTTTCACAATTCATTGACAGACTGTATGCAGAGTATCACATCCTGTTCTAGTACCAACTATACTTTTATGAAGAACACTGACAAACTATTTAAAGGTGAAATGTCAAAAAACGATGTCAAATAGGAAGACAAAGGAACTGAAAAAAAAAAAAAAAAAAAGACTGGTGAAATGATTTCAAATCCTTGAAGTGCAGACCTGTGTTTAAAGGGGGTTGAAGAATGAGTGGAAGGTAGGCAGATTTAAAAACAAAGGGATGATTTCTAACCACTCAGACTGTAGAACACCATCATAGGCTGGGCCAGCCCGTGTGTTCCTAGTCATTCCATACACTTTATGAGTGGGTCTGTTTCCCAGCTTTGGACATTGGCAACTGTATCCTGACCCAGTATAGAGGCTGTGCCCGATGCACATTTGTTCAAAGGAAAATCGGAGGCAGGATAACCGCAGGACAGAATTTTTACATGGAAGGGTTAACCAGATGGTAAATTATATTACATAATTGTTCAGGCTGTTTCCAATTCTTAAGGTTGTATGATTAAAATAAACCAACTCAAGGCAAAAGGCAGAATCAGAGTTGGAAGGGATTATGATTTATTTCCCTTAATACAGGTTTTTCTTATCTTTCAAAATAGGCAGATTTAGAGGCCCTTTACATTTGTACTGAAAATAAATATATTTTCTCCCGTAATATGAAATCTGCCTCTCCCTACCTTGTCTACTGTTACTTTCCACCACCTCTTCATCTTTTGTGACCTTTCCACTTGGTGCTTGCCTTTGATGCATTGACCTGTCCTTTGGCCTTTTGTATACCCTCATGATCTTCCAGCCCTCTCCTATTATCTCCCTCCCTTTGTGACTTCTTTTCCCTCCCAATTCTAAGTTGACTGATGACTGATAAATGCCAGGTGATCAAGTTTAATGTCTAATATAAAGAATGATTTAGGAATAAATCCAGAGGTATTTGTTCATTTGAAAACTTTAGAGTACCTCCAGAAAACTGGATCCATGTAGGGTCAGGATTCATTAACCAATGGATAAAATTCACCTTGTGATAAGTCCAACCCTGGGCAAGTACTATATATTTGATTCATATTATAGCCTGGTATGGATTTGAGGCTATGAATAGCAAAGTAAAAATTTCACTGGTTAAGACACAAGGTTTCAATCAATTTCAATATAAGTGTAAGTTTTCCTAGATTCATCATTCAAGAGACTTTTTCAAGACAATACCTTAGTTGGTGTTCGATACCAGCAAAGCAGTGGTATCCACTGTTTCTTCTGATTGATGAATAGGAATGCTATTATAATAGACAGGCATATAATTATGGGAACCACAACTGAGGCAATGGAGTCCAGTGAAGAATCTTCACTTGGGTGCAGTCTGTTATCTCTGTAATCTACCTGGAGGTGACCCATATCTAGGAGAAGAAAAATTACAAGCATTTATTACCTAAACCGGAATTGTTCAGGATTATTTTAATGACATTGCAAATAGAGATCGGCAACTTGGTTTTATTGCTTCTCAGTTTTTTCAGGCTAAAAATGTGATTAAAATCTACTTTTGATCCAAAGAGCTCTTAGTAGAGGGCAGAGCGCTTAGGGATGAATGTTAAAAAAAAAAAAAAATCAAAGTGACAATAATTGGATAAGACGATGCCGGCTCTAGCTAATAAAATAAGAAGGTGCTTAGGTAGATTTTGAAAAAGTGAATTAGACCATTAAAATATTTTGATTACTATTAACATATATGGTCTTCTCAGATTTCGAAGGAGAAACATTAGCTGATCTCCTTGCTTACTGGCAAACGGGACTAGAACAAAGTATATTCTCTTTAATAACTAAGACTAATTAGATCAAAACTAATCAGAATCAGGAGGTTGGTCTTTTGGTTGATACTCTGGTTCACTGAACTCTAAGCAATATTGTCTTACTTTTCATGAACTTGTTGAAAATCTTGCTTAGGCGTATTAGATCGTTTTTCTGCCTTAATGAATTATATTGCATAGGTGACTACATTTAGTTTTGCACTTATGAATGACGACCTTTATGTTCTCTTAAAATATCTTGCAATGTATGTTGCAGACAGAAATAAGGTTAAATACATACCAGTAGGGGGCACTCCCTAAAGTTTCCTTATTTTTATTCTATTTTGAAATCACTGTGTCAGGTTTTCTAAATGCATTAACAGTCAGTTTAGTGAAAGACACATGACACACAATGTCGAAAGGAGTTACTCTCAAATTGTTCTGGAAATTCAGCTCATGAAGTGACAGAGCTTTGTGGTATGTAAGACTGTGGTGTAAAACGCAGATTTTAAATACTATATGCTTCCGTGTGTGTTCTGGAGGGTGGTGGGAGCAGGGAGGAATGGGAGGTAGAAAACATTCCTAATCATTTTAGCTGGTGCAGATGGCAGTAAAGCTTTGTAGAAACATATTTATCAGCATCAAGAAAAATGTCAAAGATAAGAGTAACATTTTATTGATGAATTCAGATTTTAAATACACAACGAATAAAAGAACGAATTTTACTTTCCCATATTCCAAATGAAATAGAAGTTTTAGGACTATGTGTCATACAAGAAGAATAAGATATAAATTAAGGAAGGTCTCGGTGAAAGAAAAATGAAGCTGCAAGTGAGGTCTGTTTACAAAATTCAGTCTTCCGGTGCCGTTTCTGTGCTAAAACCAAGCCCTAAAAGTTAGCTTTGAGCTTTGTAGCAGCCAAAGCCAAAAATGGAAACAACTATCAGTCTTTAATAGGATTCACAGTGTCTTCTAGGTTAAAACAAATCAGTTGCCTAGGAGAAGTATACATTTTCTTGCTATTGACGCATGAGAAAATTTCTCTTCAGGGGCTTTATAACATAGATACTATGCAATGCACAGGTCTTCAACATACTATAAGTATGGCTATACTTATGACCGAAGTCTAGCCTCTAGAACAGGGCCTGGCATACAGCAGGCACTAATATTGACTGAGTGAATGTAAGCATAATGCTAAAGCACGTTCAGTCAGAACAATTTTACAGAGAGCCAAAAACACTGGGCCCAGGAAATTGGCTTTCTGGTCATCTGGCTTGATCCGAGCATAACGTTTAGAATATCTAGAGTCACAGACAAGTAATCTCTCAAGCAATGAATATTGCTTCTTCCAAAAGAAATATAAAAATTATATAGCAATGATTTGGAAAATATGGTTGGAGTGGACAGGAGG